CGGTATACCGAACCGTACCCAGGGTACATTCCGGCAGTACCCTGGGGGATATAGACCCTCTCAGCCTAACTGGGACGTGAGACTGGGAGAACCATATGAAGGAGGCAAAACACTAACAGTGACCACTGTTAGTGTCAGCAGAGGTCCTTGAATCCTTGAACTGAGCTCCGCAGAGCTGTAGTGTTCTCCCGGTATGGTCAGAGGCACTTGAAAGCGTTTCAATAAAATATAATGCTAACTAAATACGAAATCTATTTACTTTGTACAAAATTCCTAATGTTTCTATACTATAGCCAGGCCTACTCTCTTTCACCTACGGCTACACCACCGATAGTTTCCAACCACTGCATTACCGGCTGCCATTGCTCTCGCGGCGCGACTGTTGCACGCTTGCACTTATATATAGAGTATATTAGTGCTTCTCTATTCTTATTCTCTATTCTTATATTAGTGCAAGCGTGCAACAGTCGCGCCGCGAGAGCAATGGCAGCCGGTAATGCAGTGGTTGGAAACTATCGGCGATGTAGCCGTAGGTGAAAGAGAGTAGGCCTGGCTATAGTATAGAAACATTAAGAATTTTGTAGTAAGTAAATAGATTTCGTATTTAGTTAGCATTAATACCCCATTATATTTTATTGAAACGCTTCAACTTGCCTGTGGGTATGGTAGTCACTTAGTACGTTGATGTCACACTATGTGAGTGTCGGCTTTGCGTAATACTCTAGGGCTAACTAGTCAATGAGACCTAAACTTCATAACGATACATTGTTAGTTGATAGATTGTGACCAAGTCAGTTAAACATGCAATATGATGCAATGGGCCGGCGGTAATGCATTCAATGAGCATTATCATCGTTATCATCATGATAAAGTTTACGTTATTTATACGACTACAGCTGCGGATCGCAGTTAAAATACGCGTAAAATACCTCTTCAATTGCCGCTTTAAGTTGTTCTGATAAAGTTTCATTTTTTAATGTTTCTAGTGCCTTGTTTTCGCTTAATCCAATACTCATAAACAATTTCTTCGTTTCATCAGCCATTGCCTGAGCCATGATTACACGTTTACGTCGGTTCTCAGGCAACAGCGCTGGCGATGTTCGGGGTCCATTTGATTTAGTCTGACTATCTGTCCTTGCTCTTTAAAATAATGCTGCACTTCGTTTTTAAAACGAAAAGACGTGTGCCCATCTAGGCGGTACAACAGTTTGGTCTGCCATCTATAGTCTTTTAAAGTCACCATACACGTTCGTAAAACAGGGTGCGATGACACGTGCAATCATTGGTTCGGGGCTGCATGACGTCACTTTCTTATCCACTCAGTGTCATCGTTACATTTCGTCGACATTGTGTTTTCGCGGTACACTTACAATGGCTGATCGTAATAGAATATCGTCGTTTAGCAGTGACGAAGAAGCTAGTCCGATTTCGCAAAGACGTCAGCTAAAGGTATATAAATCAACGTGGTTTGAACGCAAAACAGTTCAGGGGATTACATATAAGTCTCGGAGTTAATAATGTTCTTATTTTACATGAGTGACATGCGGAACTCCAGAAAAGAGGCTCGCCGCTCTACTCACTGTACCTCAGTACTTAGAGTCCCTGTATACAGAGAGTTGCGCCATGACGAGTCGGAAAAAATCGGTCACGTGATCGCTGGCCTTCATGTTGTTTCCAAATTGATCCACACCGCTGCCGCTTAAAGTGTGTACGTCGAGTTTTTGGGCTCAGAAAAACGAAATATAGCAGAATATAGTCTCACCTGACAGTGCAAATATCACTGATTATACCAACATTCAAAACACCAAGATTTTATGCAGTTATAGCATAGAAAAATTGATTAAACCACATCATACCAGCAATACATTCTTTCAAGTCCGGACTTACAAAAATCACAAATGGCGTCTCAAACAAGCGAACATAATTAAAACAAAGGGTCATCTATTTGTGTGTGATAACGATTCTCGCCGGCCGTACGCAGCGAGGCGCAGCGGAGAGTGTGGTATTTCTGAGCGGGTGAGCACAAAACAAACAACCATGGAAGCAGTAAGTCGTGTACTTTGGAGTTCGGAGAAGAAGAGAAGACGTTTTTGGACCCGGCAGAGCTATGTGAGTCGGAAAGGGTTCCGTATGAGTCTTGGCGAACAGTTTCCTCGATGGGAAAAGCTCCGTGAGCGATTGAGTTTGACGTCAGAACTGACAGAAGAAGATCTTGCCAAATTGCTATTGGACACGTAAGTACTACTAGTACTAGTACTAGTACTA